CATGCATGTATATGTACTTACATTTATATTTATATATTATATAAAAAAGAAAAGAACCGACTTCTATCATAGACATACGCCTCTCCAAATTCTGCAAGTAGCCTTTTTGAGTACTTTGGGTACTTTAACCGTTTCCCCTACGGCCAAAAGGGGAAATTGCCGGCCATTAAACGAGCATTAGCATTAGGTAAGGCCTGTGACTGGACGCCACACGTAGTCTTCCAGCAGCGAGTGCTTATCAGTGAAAAGTAATAGAAAGAGGCAATGCGCAAGGAAACGCTCTAGCGTATCGCAAAGGCAATAACAATATAAACAATAATAATTACAATTATACTTAATTGAAATTAAGCGCGTGACATGCTTAACTCATCTGCGGCTCAAGCTTAGCCCTTTTTGCTGATGCTTGCGATTCGGACACGTCTCATGCATTTCAATTGGCCAATATTGAGTGTGTATGTGTGTGTATATGTGTGTGTGTGGAAGAACGTACTGAATTGATTGGTCAGTTGATTGTTTGTTGTTCTTTTGTTTGTCGCCCGCTGTCAATTCCAGTTGTGGCTGGAATGGACGACATTTATATCGATCCACATACATATATGTGTATGTCTGTATGTATACATATATAAGTCTCACCCTCTATTCAGTTTGTTTGCACATATTTTGATGGATGGGCCTGGGGCAATCGTTGCAATGCTAATACTGCTAAGCCACTAGTAAGACACTCGCCGTCTGGCCTTTCGCGGCCCTCGTTGATGGATGTTATGCAGTCGGCGTTGCGACCCACAAGACCCGTGCACTCACTCAAATTTCCATCAAGAGGGGTACTCAATTTAGCACGACTTGAATATGGTTTAAAATAGTTGTAGATCTTTGTAGGTAGAGTGTCGGGAAAAGTGGGAAATCTTCAAAGAACATTCGCTTTTCTTTATATTAAAGTAAAATCTATATATGGTATATATAATATCGTATATATTCGTCTATATTCATATCTTGAACTATTTATTTAGGAAAACTAAATTGAGCGAATAGACAGATGAATGAATTGCTTACAATAAATATCAACAAACTTTGAATTTTATTCGAAACAAATGGAAAAAATTAACTGAAATGTGGCATATTTTATTTGTAACTCGTCCGTTGATTAATTATCCAATTAGACCAGCTGGTCTAGTTAGACAATTGAGCAATTCTGACAAGGGTTGAAGTCTGGGCTAGTCTATGACTGTTGGGATGTTGTCTTAGACGAAGGTTAGAACTGCTTCAAATATAATAAGTTTAATTGCTTAAATATTAATATTTTAATGACTATACATAGAACTATACTATACTATGACTATACATAGAACTACGTGTCGTTGATGCAAAAATGTGTGAAATAGTAAAATTCGTTAAAAAAGAAGTTATGAATATTAAAAAAATATATATATACCTAAAAATATGTATATACCTAATAATTAAAATAATTAGAACGCAATACATTAAACTATGTTTATGGATGCGAAAAACCTGAAAGCAGGAAGTATACTTGATATTTAATTGTATTAAAGATAATATGTCCCATGAAATAAAATAAAAATAATAAATATATAAACTATACATATTTATTATTATACCTTGCACCCATTGAGAATGGGAAATGAGGGTATAATATGTTTGTTGTATTTTATTTTATATGGAACATTTTATTCTGAATAAATTTAAATACATTTGTGTTGTTAATTGTCATTAATATTGAAATGTATAGGAAGAAACAACATTGAGGAAAAAAAAATATTTTAAAACAAAAATCCTCATTTATATATTCCTAAAATTTAAATAATTGATTGATTTATGAATTATAAGAACGTTTGACAAATAAAGCTCTAAACTATAAAGCATGTTTATTTACTTTATTTGAACCTATCAAACATGTTTCAAGCTAAATATCTAGCATTATTTGAGATAATTTCGAGAGACAACAAAAATTTGAAAAATAAAATATATTTATAGCTACAATTTCAGCACGAAACACTAAATCTATGAACAAAAGAAATTGTTCTACATAAGCAAATTGTATTTATTTTAAGTAAATGAATTTTGATAGCTTAAATTTGAACACTAGACTAAAAATATGAATGAAATCTATTTTATTTAAATAGGTAAAAATTTAAATCTAAAATATTAACACTCGCATAAATATGTGAATTTGCTTTGGAAACGCCCAGAGACAATGCTATATATATATTTTATTATGCATTTGCCAAGAATTCAGAAACATAAAAATGTATATATTGATGTGTGTATAACGTTTATGACTTTGCATGCTAGTTTCCGATGGAAAAGCTTTTGGTTTGCCGCTCGAATACCCCTAAGTCGGCGTCTATTTGCGCTGTGTCTGCTACACACAGAGAGAGAGCGAGAGAGAGCGAGAGCGAGAGAGCGCGAGAGAGAGAGAGAGGAAGATATTTATATACTATATATATTTGCATTTGTTTTTAGCGACCCCAGACGAGACCCAAATGTTTATTCAAATGACAAAAGGGTGTTTGTCAATGTTGTTTTTGTTGTTGTTGTTCGCTTTGTATTGGTTTTTTTCGTTTGGCAGCCTTGATCAATTATTAATTAACTTGTCAAATAATAATATGCCATAGTGTTAATATCTTGTTTCTCTTCTTTTGAATTCGATTTGCAGCTAATTTAATATAGAATGTTACCCAGCCTGCACACCTTGATGCGTTGCTCGAAGCGTGTGCTGCAGTCGCCGCTGGATGCGGTCAAGATGCACAGCTCCACGGGCCACAGCAAGGCGCCCGGCGTCGGCATATATGGACCCTTTACGCCGGCGAACGATCTGAGCTGCTCGGGCCGTGGCGATTGCGTGAACAACACCTGCGTCTGTGACATACGCTATGCGGGCGATGAGTGCGACTTCTTCAATCTGTCCTACTATGCGGGCATCTCCACCGTCTTCTATGTGGTGGCTCTGGTCTCGGTCATTCAGCTGCTCATCTGCATTGTCGCCGAGTATCAGCGGCTCAAGCAGCCGTCGATTCTGCGCGCCTGCCGCATCACCACCCAAAAGTTGCTCTACTTTATGGTCTTTGTGGCTTCTTCGCTACGCGGCGCCTACTTTACCACACCTGTAAGTAACACAATCAATTATTGTTTGAAATTCACATTGTTTAATTAATTTATTCTTCTATGCACAGCTCGATCTGCAGCCCCAGTGGGCAGTCACCCTGATGTCCGCTTATTATCCGCTGCTGATGACCTGCGCCTCTCTCATCGTCTGCATGTGGGCCGAGGTGAGTCAAGTCGAGGTTTTGTCAATGAGTTGATGAAGCGATCAAGCAAGAGAGAAAATAATAAGCGATCAATGCGAAGAAATCAATCAAGATGTTTTAAAGAGATTTTTTTTTTTTTAATTTTA